TTTAAAAAATTGATTTAAGAGGTTTAAAATTAATTTAAGAAGACGATTATACATATAATATAGTGCAATCAGTTCGGACATCGCACAGTGCTCATTCAATAAATGCACAGCTAAACAGATGAGTTTTGAGTCTGCATTTAAATGTGACTAATGTTTTAGCACATCTGATCTCTTCTGGAAGCTGATTCCAACTGCGGGTGGCATAATAACTAAAAGCACATTCCCCTTGTTTTGTGTGAACCCTTGGTATTTCTAACTGACTCGATCCTAATGATCTGAGTGGTCTGTTCGGTTTATATTCAGTGAGCATATCTGCTATATATTTAGGTCCTAGGCCATTGAGTGATTTATAAATGAGTAAAAGTACTTTAAAATCAATCCTAAATGTAACTGGAAGCCAGTGTAAGGACCTGAGGACTGGTGTGATATGCTCAGATTTTCTGGTTCTAGTCAGAATTCTGGCAGCAGCGTTCTGGCTGAGCTGCAGCTGTCTAATGGTCTTCTTGGGAAGGCCGGTGAGGAGACCATTACAATAGTCCACCCTGCTGGTGATAAAGGCATGAACAAGTTTCTCCAAGTCTTGACTGGAAACAAAACCTCTAATTCTTGCAATGTTTTTGAGATGATAGTATGCTGATTTAGTTACAGCTTTGACATGACTACTGAAACTAAGGTCTGTCTCCAGAATCACACCAAGATTCCTGACTTGATTTTTTGTTGTTAGACCCCTTTTCTTTGTTTAACTGAAGAAAGTTCTCGCACATCCAACTGTTAATTTCATCAATGCATTGGCAGAGGGAGTCAATGGGGCTGTAGTCATTTGGAGATAAGGCTAGGTAGGTTCTACATGAATAAACTTATAAACTCCTTGATTTCGCTTAAGCAATTTTAAATATAATATGCATGCACAATACACTATTGTAACATTTATTTACATCACTCGACAGAAAGGTCTTTGCAGGTTTTAATAAAATGTAAATTAATAACAGCATATTTCCGGTACGCGCCTCAGGCTTGCACAGTATCGTCAACTCACTCATCAGAATCTTCGGTAATCCTCTGCAAACTTCACCACGGCTCATTCGGTTCTTGTTGAGTCCTCGGTAATCCTCAGCAAACTTCGAAAGTTGGTTGAACCTGCTCAATCGGTTCTTTTTGAGTTGGACGTGCTACTTCAGCTGTGCGTCCTGCATCATCAACCCGGAACTAAAGTTCGATTCAGTTCGATTTGTGAACCGGCTCCACCGGTTACTTCCTGAGAACCGGCTCAAAAGAACGATTCGTTCAAGAACTGAACATCACTAGTCACCGTGCATTTCATGACATGCATAATGATGCATTTGATCAGTCTCTGCCCCTTGATTAGTACTCTTTATGCAGGAACAAGGCAATTTTGTTCTCTTCCAAAGGCACCTGCTGTGACCTCTCTCTAACACGAACACAGACATCAGCAATTTTGAGTTTAAGATACCCCAGAGTCCAGAGACACCTATAGAAGTAAACGGCAATGCGTATGTGTAAACTAAAGTGTGCTCTTTGGCTTTGTTCTGATGTGTTTTTTGTCAGATTTAGATATGTAGATTTGTCTGAGCTGATTGTGTTATCTCAGTGTGGACCGTGGCGTGTGTAAGCTCCTATCAGCTGGCAGCGAAACTCTCAGTGCATTATTCATAGTCTGAACTTTATGTTCTGTGTCCACCCACTCAACGCACCTCTGCATATGAAGCGCTCACTCTTTCTCTCTCTCTGCCAGGTGTTGAAAATTCATTTGGGGTTTCTGAATGCTCTTTGAGGGTATGAGTTAGAGAGAGGGAGAGAGAGAGAGTCTCTGCCAGTGAGAGATGTGCTTTGTGCCTGTGTCTGTATTACTAAATTTATGCTCATTGTAATCCATTACAATTTATTTTTTATCTTTAGTCTAACCGAAACCTTATATTTTATTTTTAAATTTTATTTTATTTTATTTTTTAATTTAATTTAATTTTTAATTTGTATACAATTTTATTTTAAATTAAAAAAATTTACATTTTTAATTTATTTATTTTAACTTTTAAAATATTACATTCATATAAATTGTATTTATTTTATAGTATTTATTAAATATATATTTATTCATATTATTGTAATAAATATAGTATTTATTAAAATAATTACAATTTAAATTGTAATTTTAAATTTATATTAAATTAATTTAAATTAAAGGCTTGTCTGAAGAAAATATTATCAAGTAACATTCAGAAGTTGTTTTAATAAACTTTACTTTTCTAGTTTTACTTGTGCAGTTTTTTTTTACAAATGTACAACTTCTGTTATGCCAATAAAGCACAATAAAACTGAAATTGAAAACAGAGAGGAGAATTGTAAATCTAAAACTAAGACAGAACAGCGGGGAAACGAAAAGCAATTCTGATTGAGTCATTCCTGCAATTGTTTGCCAACCAGTTTTTTTTTTCCACTAAAACACTTCATTGTCTTTATCTCTGTTTGACAGAACTACGGGCTGGAGACTGAAAACCTGAAAACTCTCTCTCACAAGCTCAATGCCTCCGCCAAAAACCTGCAGAACTTCATCACGTGCCGCAGACGCAGCGGCCATTACGACGGCCGGACGACCCACAAGCTGCCCAACGATTTCCTCACATCTGTGGTGGACCTCATCGCTGCTGCTAAGAGCCTTCTGACCTGGCTGGATAGGTTAGTCCTGCTAAGAGGACACAACAAATCAATTCATGATTTAATACATACTTAATATAAATAAACACATATTCGATTTAATTGTATTCAAATTCAACCACTTTGATGTGTCAATTTTTTAAAGCCTTGCTTATTGGAGTGTAGCCAAATTTAGCTCTCTTTCCTTTAGAAGTGAGCTCCTCTGAAAAACACTAGAGAAAAGTTTATTTGATATGAAATAAAGATTTAAAGTGTGACCTTAAAGGTTAATAGTGGGCTTTTCCTGTGCTCCAGTGTCTTGTCACCTTTTGTTGTTGATAGTCAGTTGAATGCTGTTGTGATGACTTGATAGTTATAAATCTAGAACTGCAGCTATCTAGATTAACTGTTATTAAGCGATTAATCTGACATTTGTATATTTGAGTAATCAGATCTTTCACTTGAATGCTACACTATACTGTTCAAAAGTTTGGGGTCTTAATATAAAAAATATATTCAGCTAAGATGCATTAAATTGATCAAAAGTGACAGTAAAGACATTTTTAATGTTACAAAAAATTTTTTTCTTTTGAACTTTATATTCATCAACAAATCTTGAAAATAAATGTATACTGTTTTTCACAAAACTATTAAGCAACTGTTTTCAACATTCATAATAATAAATGTTTCTTGAGCAGCAAATCAGCATATTAGAATGATTTCTGTAGGATCATGTGACACTGAAGACTGGAGCAATGATGCTGAAAATTCAGCTTTATCGTCACAGGAATAAATTACATTTTAAAATATATTCAAATAGAAAGCTGTTGTTTTATATTATAAAAATATTTCATAATATTACTGTTTTACTGCATTTTTGATCAAATAAATGCAGCATTAATGAGCATAAGAGACTATTTTCAAAAACATAAGTCTTACTCACCCCAAACTGTACATTATGAAATTATGAAGGATTTATTCTTGGTTTTTATGGATTAGTATGGATTTAATATATATTCCTGCATCAGCATCCTTTGTTGTTCCTTCCCGGGTCGTTGATTTTGGGTTTTTGGGTTCAGAGACATGGCTGTGATTCCTGGAGTATTATTCCAGGAACAGCAGGGGTGTTGATCCAGGAACATTTCCTGTTTGTTTAAATCATGTCATGCATGGTCTTCCTTCCAGTCAAGGGATGGCACTGAGAATTAGAGTGACACTTTGTGTGGCAGGGCGGGCAGAAATGATAGTCTTGGGCTTTCTTGTGTAGTGTGTGCGAGGCCAGATTTTGTCTGCTCAAATTCAATCATGTTGATTTGTGTTCCTTCTTCCCCTCAGCAATCAGGTACAAGGATGAGTGAAGAGGTCTTGTATAACTCAGACTCTTTCTCTCTCAGTAACTCAGCCTCTTTCGGTTCAAGATTTTAACCACATGGCTTCTGTTTATGTACTATTATCTTTAGATTGTGATTTCTTTATGATGTATTGATGAGCAATGTTTCAGAGAGCAATACGTAAGGAAAGTGAGAAATGAAACATTTCTGTCCAGCTGTTGTGTTTTTTTTTCTCATAAGCAGTTCCACATGGTATCTATGCACATTTACATCAGCATCGGTGCTGATTGTGAGGAAAAATCTGTAGAAATTGTTTTCACTGTACATCTCACATGCATTGATTTTGTGTCAGTGTTTCTCAACCTTTTTGACTCAAAAGCCCCCCACTGTCAAACACAATATTTTAAGACTCCCAATATAATATATTAACATATCTATCTATCTATCTATCTATCTACAGGTGCATCTCAATAAATTAGAATGTCATGGAAAAGTTCATTTATTTCAGTAATTCAACTCAAATTGTGAAACTTGTGTATTAAATAAATTCAATGCACACAGACTGAAGTAGTTTAAGTCTTTGGTTATTTTAATTGTGATGATTTTGGCTCACATTTAACAAAGACCCACCAATTCACTATCTCAACAAATTAGAATACTTAAGACATTTTTTGTGAATTGTTGGCCTTCTGGAAAGTATGTTCATTTACTGTACATGTACTCAATACTTGGTAGGGGCTCGTTTTGCTTTAATTACTGCCTCAATTCGGCGTGGCATGGAGGTGATCAGTTTGTGGCACTGCTGAGGTGGTATGGAAGCCCAGGTTTCTTTGACAGTGGCCTTCAGCTCATCTGCATTTTTTGGTCTCTTGTTTCTCATTTTCCTCTTGACAATACCCCATAGATTCTCTATGGGGTTCAGGTCTGGTGAGTTTGCTGGTCAGTCAAGCACACCAACACCATGGTCATTTAACCAACTTTTGGTGCTTTTGGCAGTGTGGGCAGGTGCCAAATCCTGCTGGAAAATGAAATCAGCATCTTCAAAAAGCTGGTCAGCAGAAGGAAGCATAAAGTGCTCCAAAATTTCTTGATAAACGGGTGCAGTGACAATGGACCAACACCAGCAGATGACATTGCACCCCAAATCATCACAGACTGTGAAAACTTAACACTGGACTTCAAGCAACTTGGGCTATGAGCTTCTCCACCCTTCCTCCAGACTCTAGGACCTTGGTTTCCAAATGAAATACAAAACTTTCTCTCATCTGAAAAGAGGACTTTGGACCACTGGGCAACAGTCAAGTTCTTCTTCTCCTTATCCCAGGTAAGACGCCTCTGACGTTGTCTGTGGTTCAGGAGTGGCTTAACAAGAGGAATAGGACAACTGAAGCCAAATTCCTTGGCACGTCTTTGTGTGGTGCTCTTGATGCCTTGACCCCAGCCTCAGTCCATTCCTTGTGAAGTTCACTCAAATTCTTGAATCGATTTTGCTTTGACAATCCTCATAAGGCTGCAGTTCTCTCGGTTGGTTGTGCATCTTTTTCTTCCACACTTTTTCCTTCCACTCAACTTTCTGTTAACATGCTTGGATACAGCACTCTGTGAACAGCCAGCTTCTTTGGCAATGAATGTTTGTGGCTTACCCTCCTTGTGAAGGGTGTCAATGATTGTCTTCTGGACAACTGTCAGATCAGCAGTCTTCCCCATGATTGTGTAGCCTAGTGAACCAAACTGAGAGACCGTTTTGAAGGCTCAGGAAACCTTTGCAGGTGTTTTGAGTTGATTAGCTGATTGGCATGTCACCATATTCTAATTTGTTGAGATAGTGAATTGGTGGGTTTTTGTTAAATGTGAGCCAAAATCATCTGAAAATAAATAAATAAACTGAAATAAATGAACTTTTCCACGACATTCTAAGTTACTGAGATGCACCTGTATCTATCTATCTATCTATCTATCTATCTATCTATCTATCTATCTATCTATCTATCTATCTATCTATCTATCTATCTATCT